TAACAACCTACACTGGAAGTAAAAGATAGTTCGAAAAACATACATCTTACAATCAGAATCTCTGGGGTTGACACAAACAGAAAACTTTTTATTTATAATGCAACAGGGGTTGTTTCCGTTTCTTCATAAATTAGAAAATTGGTTCATTTTAATTTCAAATCATCTCTTTCATTCCACAGCTGTGATAAAGGAATAATCAACACAGGCAAAGGATACTGAACATTTTTCAAACATACCTACTATTTTTTATATACCAGATTTGTGAATCATCGATTTCTTTACCTACATGGGAGTGAAAATATGAAGGTAAAAAAAGGTCCCGGAAAAAAGGTACGGAAAAAAAGGCCCCGGTAAAAAAGGTCCCTGGAAAAAAGGGTCCATGGAAAAAAAGGTACGGAAAAAAGGGTCCCTGGAAAAAAAGGTCCCGGAAAAAAATTTCCCGGTAAAAAAGGTACCTCCATAGGGAAAATTTGTAGGGATATTTCCCCTCTCGCTTTCTGGGCAGCATGAATGCTTCTCGCTGTTTCAATGAATATTCTTTTTATCTGTAATAATTCAGATTAGATCATTGAGGTAAGGAGAAGGGTAAGGGGGGGGGGACTTATAGGCTGGTTGTATTACGCTTTTTTTTTAAAAAATTTTATTTCATTTATTTATTCTTCTTTGATTATTTTTAAAGCGGGAAGATACTATTTAAATTTTTCAATAATGTTTTACTTTTTTTTTGTAATTTTTCTAAGTGAAAAATGTGTTATTTTCTATTTAAAATTATATTTTGTGAAGAAGTTGCTAATGTGAGGCTTAAAGTAGCCAATCGGGGAAGTTGGGAGGATTTATATGTTGGATGTTTATTCGTGATTGAAGGTGAAAGTATTGGTCTTTTTTAATTAGTTGAAAACGCGCGACACGAAAAAAGAAAAAAAAAAAAAACATGCACGGAACAGCAAAAAGCGCTTCAATTTAATCTTCTCATTTCAAATATTTTCCCCTACAGAATTTTCCCTACCAGGTACCTTTTTTTCCGGGGACCTTTTTTTCCGTACCTTTTTTTCCAGGTACCTTTTTTCCGGGACCTTTTTTTCATAGAACCGAAAATATATTTTCAGTTCATATTAAAAGTGAAATGTTTGATAAGAGCAATGAAATTTGAGTTCACAGTATAGTATACTTAACGTTAAGCGTATTCGCGTCATAAGTACTAGTACTCAAAGGGTATTGTATTATATTGTTATACAACCATTTGTCGAACTATTGATGTTTAACAATTATTTAATGGAATAAGGGTAGAACAAATTTTGGCTTTCAAGAATTGGATGGTATACATTTTCTTACATCCCTTTGTACTACGTTTTTCTTTATTATTATTATTTTTATTATTATCGAAGCTCAAATTTATAAAGAAATTGGTAAATAGTTTCAAAAAAATATTTTTTCATAAAAAAAAAATAGCATTTTTACATATTTTCATACTTTTTACTGAGAAAAATGAAAAAAAAAAACGAAACTGTTAAATTTAAAGGCAACTTGCTGAAGCGTGTAAAGTTATACTTGAACTAGGGGACTAGGTCATAGGTGTTGACTAGTACTCTGTTCGTTACCACTCGCCAACCGCGATGATTGCTTTACAATTGTTGCTTCGCGGCATAAAACATTTTTTTTACTGCAAAAGTTGGATAATACAAAGGAAAAGCAATACAATTTATGACTTTTATTAATTTTATACTGATGACATCCATAAAATTATGGAAATTAATGTATGAAAACTGGATCCAACTAAGCGATTTTCCAGCCAATAAAAATGTACTGGCAACAATAGAAAACTGTGTGAGACCAATATATTTTTATGTTACTCATCTATAGAAGTACCAACTTAATATAGAATAGGCAGATGTAGAATTTAACCGATATAAGTGGATATGTGGTTATATTTTCTTTATTTTTTGAACCTAAATAATTTTTTTTTGCCTAGTGCAATTTCCTGTTTTCAGCTACTTAATTTACTGTTTTATTTAAGCGGAGATTATATAAAGGCATTTATCCCCACTAATTAATTAAATGAATGTTGGAAAACTGGATCCTACTATGTGATGTTTCGGTCAATTAAAATGTGCTGCCAACAATGGAAAACTGTGTTAGACCAGTATGTTTTTTTATGTTATATAGAAATACCAAAATATAGAAGGCGCATATGCAGAACTCAACCAATATAACTGGTTATTTAGTTACATAATTCCTTATTTTTTACACCTAAATAAATTTTGTTTGTATCTTGCAATTTGTTACAAGAAAATTTCCCTGTTTTTATCAAGCTACTTAATATTGGGTTTTAGTTCAGCAGAAATAACTTAAACATATTTTTCGCTACTATGAAAACACTAATTTATGCAAAGTTTTCTTTCTTTCTTTTTTTTCATTTTTCATTCTAGTTATGATATGACCTTTGCACTTAAAGGTCATTTACGATGACAGATTTAAGAACAGATGTCATTGATACAAAGAAACAACCAGTTTTGAATGAATGCGTACTACACGTACCCAGCATGTTTTACATTTACTGGAGGAATGTTACTTTAAAGGGTGCAACATATCCGGATATTTCCCAGGAGGGACACCTCAAACCTGAATACCAAACATCAGACTTAAAGATAAAGGTATGATTTATTACTTACTCTTACAGTTCGACATGGCAGCTGAATTGTAGTACAATTTGATTTAATGACTTGTCAACTTTGAAAATATGGCGACGGTTGAAGAGACTGATATTTGCATTAATATTAAAGAATATATATAATGTATTCTTAATTAAACAGCAGTTTTTATTCATTTAGGATTAATATTATATAAAATAAACTACGTTATACTTTGCTTGCCTTAGAGATGAGCTCGGAGCCCAAGCCAAAAGAATTTTAATCCGAGCCTACTTTTTAACACGAGCCCGAGATATACTTCGCATAAATGATCAAATTTTGCGGTCCCGGCACTTGTCCTTTGATGTCTAAACAAAGGAATTGATAAATTAAAAGAAGAATGCGAAGAAGAAAAAAAACTGTACCAACTCCAAGATGTCTAAAACAAACATTAAGCTAAATAAAAATTATTTAACAATTCGGGCTTGTTTCACAAAGTAAAAGCACCGAACGCAAGTAGCAAATAGCTGTAAATGTTTATGCCTTATGAATTTAAATTTTATGTTTAATAACTGGACTAAACGTTTGTATAAAAAAAAAGTTTATGAAAATTTTATCAGGAATTTAAGCCAGTCTCATCTGTAGCTCCCACGACTGCTTGACAAGAAGTTGTTTTCAAAATATTATGGGGATAAGGGGTTTGAACAATGTTTAATATATTAAAATCACATTATTTTCGAAATTTTCATTTTCAAAATTTAAAAAGAAAAATTTATATCCGTCTGTAACAGCTGACCCAATTTTTGGGTTTACGATTACTAATGTTCAACCCCGTAGCCTTGTAATTTTGTACCAATTCAGAAGACAAGGAAACTCCTGGATCAGTACCCTCAGATTTGTAATGGAAACATGGATGACTTTGCGACTCGACAAATTTAACGTGCATCAGTCACAATATACCGATGCGGATCGAACCCATGAACTCTTCGACATGGGTCCAGCGCCCTACCGACCAGGCTGTCCCAGCTTAAAAAGAAACATTGCTAAAAACTATATTTGAAAAAAAAAGAGAGAGATTAAGAGGTAATTCACTCATATAGTAAATAATTCCAAATTTAAAAAATACTGTTTTTTGCCAGGTCAAGGAAAAAATAAACAAATAGAAGACAATCATAGGGGTTGGTGAACAGTAGCAAATAGGGCTAAGCCTCTTAAAAATATAATTTTTTAAAATATATAATAAGGGATCAATACTTCTAGAATCAAGACTTTAATTTTGAACAATGTATAAACGAAATCAAAAACGAAATAAAGCTAAGAACGTTATTAAGAAGTTATAATAATAATATAACTGAACAGTACGCATTATTGATGTATTTTCTGAAATAATTAAGTCCTCAAAAATGTTATTTCAGCATATTTTATTATGCCATTGACAAAAGTAATATTTGATGACTCATAACAGATTCAATCAAAGCACATTTTGAATTTTAATATGCCAAATAATTACTTCGATTTAATTATCAAGCCACTTTCTATGTTAGTATACACAAAAACGTATTGCCTTTTGTTGTAAATAATTTTTTTTTTCTTTCATGGAATTAAAACATCTTATAACGAAGATACTGTAAATTAAATATTAACAAAGTTGCAATTTCTGAAATTTGCGGACTTTCATTATGAATTTTTTTCAAATAAATTTTCATTATGAATTTTGAGATATTTTCTACTTATAAATGATTCAACACCTTAAACATTAAAAAAAATTTTAATTTTGCTTCAAAAACTTGAAATTTTTTTTTATTTATTAAAGAATGAATTCTCAAATCAATGTAAGATAATTAGCGTAAAAGTTAAACGAATAATAAATAAATAAGTAATAGAAAAATAAATAAGTAATAAATGAAAGAAAGGAAGAAAATGTCATTTGGTTTATGAAAATTTCGATCAATTGCATTAGGTTGTATAAAAATAAAAAAATCTGTTTTCGGATAGAAATTAATTTAACATTAATTTTCTTCAAAAAAAGTTTCAATATTTTGCGATAAATTAAAATAAAAATCAACAGTTATTTGTTATTATTTTCATCAACAAATTGTTTTTTCAATTCATCACTTAATTTACACCCAAGATAAGTTGTAATCGCGAATCTAACGCGCTAGCCCATAAAGCACAGCATGAATCAGCAAGTTGAAAGAAACAAAAACTAATTAAACTACGAAAAAAAATAACTCATTGCATAACGGAGTTGCAAAAGAGAAACTAACAAAGAAAACAGTGATAAGTCGCCAAGAATGGAGCTATTTCCTCTAAAATGTGAGCAATGTTCGCTTTACAACGTAGTAGTTTCTAAGTTTTTGTTCCGTTATCGGCTTCGCTATAACTGGTGGGTTTGGCGGTGGAGGGGGGAACGGCACATTGATGTCACGTGACGGATTCAACCAAAAACGAACGTTGTTTGTGAAAGGGAAGAATGAAAAACTAGATACTCTCTGACTAGAAGTTTCGAAGGTCAACGTTGAAAGTACGCATTCGTATCTCAAAGTTTCTTTAGTTTGGTTGTTCATTTTATTTCTTATACTTTGAGAAGATATTCATCTACTTGTGATATTTGCTTCAATATATTTTTCGGTAAGTTCTTTTTATACGTCCTAGACTTTTACTTAAGTTGTCCGAAGTCTTCTTTGCCGGTTGTAAAGCGCGCCAGACAATGAAAACCATATATTCAGAATCGCGCGCAATCGGTTAAAAACAACTGTATTATATTTTAATTGGTGACGCCTTTTTCGCACGTGTTGATCACATGTAGAGTTATTTTAGATCGAATTTAAAGTTATATTATCATTTTTTATTAGTATTTGTTTCAAAAAAGTTTAAATATTATTTTCTTTTCATAAGCACGTGGTCAAAAAAAATTTCCCGCTGCTTTTGCCAGGCTAAGTTAGGTTTGCCATAAATTTTTTTAACTGGAGTTATTTCAAGATTTGAATGAGTGTTAAATTGGTAAATTATTATATGTTTGACTTCAGTTTTAATATAAATTAGTTAATTGAGCATTTCTTCATCAGCACGTGGTTTATTGGGAGCGTGAGAAAGGTGTTATTTCTCCTTTGTTATAGGTGGATTCTGAAACTGAAAGTAAAACTTCAGCGTCCCATGATAAAATGAATGTAAACTGTTTGGAGATTTAATTTATTTCTCTTATTAGTTATAATTTACGGTAGATTAAATTATATAATATAATTCAACAGTTTTAAAGAATTATTAATCATATGTTATGTTCCAGAAATAGTTTTTTTTTATTATTTAGCCTTGTGTTGATATATCTTTTAATGGTATTAAAAGTTAGGTTTTAAACTAATTTAAGTTTTAAAATTAACATTAATTTGTAGTTGATTTTGGGTGTTACTTATATTCCATTAAACTATTAAGTGACACATTTACTTAGGATTTTTTTTAATGGATTAGAAACAGATTATTGTATACCATAAGTTACAATATGGATTCAAATATTTTACTTTTTTTTTTATAAATGTAATCTTTCTAATTTTTTGTTTAAAAGTTTCTTGAGTTGCAGTTCATTTTATTTACCTTCTATTTTAGATTTAAAGCCACTTAAATTTACATTTCACTTCATCATATTTCATCACTATCTGTTGCTAATTTTTTAAGAAATTAAAATTTGATGTGTTGGAAATAATTACTATTGTATTATCAGGAAGAATATATTATATAAATTAAATTAGGTATAAATATTGCGATATGTTATTGGATGTTAATTTATATTGGTATTTCATGGACTGAAAGATATATATGAAATTCTTAGATGGATTTAAATTGTAAATATGTCCATATTTTGTAACATTGAGTATTAAAGTAAAATGTAGGGATATTTTTTTTTCTTTCTACTCTGTTTCAGTATTAAGGATTAATGTTCTTGTATTTTAAATTTTTCTTTTTTGTGCTTGAATTATAATATGGAAACTAAAAAGACATGTGGTCATCGTAAAGGAAAAATTCAGAGTTTTTTTTTGAAGTTATTTTAACTTATAATTATACTAACATCATAATTATACTTTTTTTCATTCACCAAAGTTTTGGTGAAATGTATGAGTTATGCTTGTTTCTTGCTTGTTTCTTGTATGTATGCTGAAAGTTCTAACTGAAAGGGTTTAAATTATTGTTTATTTTTTCAATTAGCCAGGAGAAAAGTTAATAAAAAATTTAGACCCTCAGCCAACTTTTTAAATAATTTCTTAATTTTAATTTAAACAATTAAATAAAATAACAATATAAGTTTCACATAATTTTTTTTCATTCACATTTGATCTTATTTATTATTCTATTATTACTCTTAAATAATAATATACATACCACTCTTGTTTTGTTGTGGAAAAGATAAAACCTTTAATATCAATGTAATAACATTTCCAAGAAATTATAACCCTAAAGGCCCATTATAAATTTAGCTGTTGTAAAATATGTTTTAAATGTAAGTATAAATTTTTAAATTTATTGTAGAATAGATGGGGATTAAAATTTTAGGTTCTTTTCACTGGAATAAATAGCCTTAGGAATAGAAAGTCTTGCTCAGGTTAATGTTTAATAAATTAGCAATGACATTGTCAGATAATTTTTAAAATTGACCTTTGTCACAAAATTTCTTCATTTCATCTATTTTTAAGATTGTGCACTTAAGTTCTGGGATATGTTGATTACAAAATCTACACATAATAGATTAATTATTAGAAGTGACCAGTTTGCATTAGTCGGCAAATAATTTAGTTTGACTCTTAAAATATTTTTGCAAATTTTTTCTTTCAAACTTTCTTATAATAGTGAATATTTAATTCTGTAAATGACATAAAATTATTAAATAATGATTTTGTTAAATGTTTAAAGCACTTCAATTTTCTCTCTGATGTATAGTTTATGCATCCAAGAATTACAAAACAAAATATGTTCCTTTTTGTTGAAATGATATGCACATATTTTACTTATTCTGCAATGTATTGCTACTTGTTGCGTCCAATGATAAACTCAGATTTGTATCTACCAGTTTGCAAAAATTAGCCAAGTTCAAAGTTTTTTTTCTTCCTGAAGTAACCTAAAAGGTAAATGATAGAACTCATTACGAACTAAGTTTTTTTTTTGTTGTATTGAAACAAAAACCCTCTTAATTGCCATGTAATAATGAAAACGTCTATAAAAATAAAAAAATTTTAAAGAAAAGAGGAAGTTAACTTTTTTCCTTACATGATTTTTTACAAAAAGTGTCCTTGAAAAAGTAGGAATGCAGATAAAAAGAAACAATAATAAATAACATTATAAAATAAGCAAAAGAGAAACAGAAGAAAAAAAAATGTTCTTACTTCTGAAATATTAAGTGAACCTTAAGAATTAGCTTTCTATGACATTGGTTATCTGTTTTACCAAACTGGAAAAGGTGACAATTAAATAATAGAGTAGGTAAGTTACAAATGTAAGTTTGAAATCTATTGGGCACCGTGATGATTGTAGTTGGTGTGACAGATCACGATGTGGAAACATCCCCTGTATATGCATATTAAAAAAAAGCATTTGTGCAACCAAATATTCAGCAAAAGGGCTGAATATTAGTTACTTCCTTAATTTTGACTGGTGTATTTTTAGATGATATTGATTTTTGCCCTCAGAAAAAATTTCAATTTTCATCTAATATCATTTTTGACTTATTTTAGGAAAAAACAGGTATGACTCGCATTGGAAGAAGGCTTATAGAGGATTTTCTCTTACCAGCATTAGATGATGGACGCTACGGAGAATTGTTGAAATGGATCGATAAAGATAATTGCTATTTCAGTATTCGATGGAGCCATAAAAATGCAGCTAAATGGTCACTTGATGATACTGCTGTTTTTCAGGTATGAACTAAAATTTTAAAGTGAGAGATTTAAAAATGAAATGAAATGGGAGCTATTTTTACATTACAAAATCAAATCTGGTAATTAAAGGTTGTTTTGATGATCCAGTGGCTTTTGTAATTAGTGAAACACTTAAAATTAAAAATATGAGTTTCGATTAAAGATTATTCAATTTCACTACTTTGAACTGATTTACGTTACAGTTATTTTATTAATAAATCTTCAGATAGTCGTTGAGTAAAAAATTATTCTACTTGAGAGTTCAGTAGTTATGGTATTTTAAAACCATTAAAAGAAGAGTGATTTAAGAAATTTGGACTCTAATCGAAGCTCTTAAGGAAATTACTAAATCTGCTTATAACAAATATTTTTCATTATAATTTATTCAATTTTGTATTTCTTTTAAATATTAATTTCTGCTCTAGAATAATTTATAGTTTGAAAAAACATGTTTCTGATGTTTTGCATCATTGCACTAAATTGAGTTTTCTGTCCCAAAATGGCGTATCTGGAACTTGAACATTAGCATGCCATTTTTTTAAAAAATTATTTAAGGGTTAATTGTCTTTCTACTGCAAACTTCAAATGTGTGTTTGAACATAAATTTCTGTTAATAATTTTAGCTGAGCCCAGGCAACTCCTCCAGACTAAAAGTCTGGGACTGTCCGCTACTATGGTAACAAGCTAGAGCACATTTCTAATGGGGGTGAAATGGAGAAAACTATTCACTCTACACTCCTATTTAAAGTGTCTTTTCCTCGTTACCATAGTACCCGCCACAATGCGAGACTGGTGTCTGGAGGAGTTCTCCTGAAAGTCACACTATACAATCCAGCTTGATTTATTGCGTATTTTCATCATACAAACAAATGTTAGGACTTGTTTAAATCATGAGTTTCTAATATTTGTTTGTTATTTTCTTTTAAATATTTAATTCGAAAAGGAGCGTATGTTTGCGTGAGCTTTTGTAATTATATTTTGTAATCATTGCATATATTTTAATATTAGCTTTTGTTTGTTTAAGGATTGGGATAAACTCAAAGGTCATTACCACCCAGAAGTGAAAGGATATTACATGCAAGCAAAACAGCGTTTTAGAGCAGCTCTTTATAAGCTTAACTCTGTTAGAAGATTGCCATGTGATGATAAACATGTAAAGAAATATCAATTAATCTTAGATCCTGAAAAAAGAAGGGCAGAATACTTAAGTAAGTTGCATGAAGCATTGGGGATCTTTACTAAATATTTGTTCAGTAATGTGTTTCACAATTGTTTTTTCATTATTATACTTGTTTGTAAACTGTTCAATATCCTTCTAAGAATAACTATTTTAAATGCATACTATTCTAATGCATTTTACTATTTAATACAATTACAGAACATACTATTATAATTTTTTTTTACTTATATCTTAATTTACTTATTAATAGTAATTATAATATTAAGTTTGCTGGAAAAAAATTGATGACCAAAGAAATAACAGTGCATTTGGTAATTATTTTTTTATGTTTCCATCCTGGTAACGAAGATTTTATCTTATTTCCTTTTTAAACATAAGATTTCAACTGTCATCATCTGACTGAGTCTTAATTTGGTTCCAAACTGTATAGTACTAGTCTAAAAGATGCCTTATATAGAAATAATTGTTGTTCTAATAACGTAAGTTTCACTGTGTAAATATGTTAAATTTATTTCTTAATTGTCTTTGTGCTGTTGACTTCATTCACTCTAAATTACTTTCACTAATAACATTTTTGACTGGGATTTTTTTAATATTTCTTATTATTTCTTATGTATTTAAGAGTTTGCAGGGTTCATAGTTTTCCTGATATTATTGATAAAAATATTTTGTCTTGGTTTGTTTAGCATTCTTATCTGATTTTTTCTCTTTGTTATACACAGCAAGCTTTGTTTCAACAGGAAAAAAGAATTTGAATTTTTTAAAAAGAAGTTTCTTTTCAGCGGGAAAGAAATATCAATGTCAAAACTTATCTAGACCTATCAATGTTGAAACCAATATATTTTCTATTTCCAAAAATGAAGACAAAAATCATGTATCAAATTAAAAGTTAAGTGTCCAAAATCTGCTCAGAAGAAAATGATAAATTTCCTTAATGCTTCTAATATTTTTTGTTTAAAATAGGAAATCTTTGTTCTCGCTAAGATTCTTCATTATCTAAAATAGGGGTGCTCAACCTGCGGCCCGCGGGCCAAATGCGGCCCGCCAACGCTCGATGTGCGGCCCGCGGCCGCAATCTGAACAAAATGGAAAAAAATTAAATATTTGTTTTTAAAAAATAATAAAAAAAATTCGGTAATTTAAATTTACACTTTTAAGTTTTTGACGCACCCAATCTCAATCAATGTAGTTTTTCGATGGTTAACGTTACGGATTTCAGCATAGTTTTAAAAATCTCAATATTTTTAATACATCATTATTACGATTTACGAATTTTAATTACCACTTTTGACGCTTTTCGTATGTGCCGATTCCAATGACTTTTCGGTAGTTATTGCTACCCATTTTCAAGTAGTTTCTGAAATAGCGATTTTTGAAAGTTATGAAACGCTTTATTTGTGCAAACTTCATGGAAAATCTAAATGACTTTAGATCCTTTCTTCAACAGTTATTGCTGCACATTTCCGCCCGGTTTTTAAAACTTCGATATTTTAGCACGATATTATTACGAATCGCGAGTAAAGAATCGCTCATTTAGATAACCATTTTTTGACATGGCTTATTTGTAACGATTTTATCGCAAATC